AAGGGCAAACGTGCAAGCGCCTGGTCCCCCATCATGGGCGAGCCGCTCGAGCTCTCAGGCGCAATGGCCACAGAAGTCGTATTCCACACCTCCTCAAAACCCTCATCGCAACAACCCTACTCATATATGCTAGCCCGCAACGGAATGGCCGTCGAGTTCACACCCGATGTTGTTCCGCCGCGCGACGAAGACGCACTGCACGATGGCGAGACGCTCGTGTGCGTCCTCGTAAGCATGACGTTCCGATCGTCCATTGTCGGTGTCGTACTTAAATCTTCTCCAGAAAGAAACAATACGTATCGCCGTGTCGGCCGCTTTGAATGCTACGAGTGCACGCCTGAGGGTATAGACGAGGAGATGAGTGAGGACGCCGAAGCGCTGTTTGAGCATTGGTTCCCTGAAATTCAGGATATGACACAGTTGGATAATTATCCACAGCGGACTTTCACCGTCGTGTGAGGGATTCTGGATTCGTCTGCTTAGCTAATTCTGGGGGAAAATGCAGCCTGACTGGGATTTGGTCACGTGGCCTTTTGGTCTACTGCTTGGAGAGTGTGGGAATGAGATGTAGGGGAATGATTCTCCTTTTCAGCTTTTTTGTACATGTACGATACCCAGGCCTCACCTTTTTTGTAGTCGATTTCCAATATTACGGGATCTTTTCTTTATTGATACTCTCTTTTGAGGAACTGGGAAAAACATGGGATTGCAACTAGACTTGATTATGTATTTGATATCGTCTGTCAAACTTTTCTCATCGTACCGGGCCTCCAAGTCTTCTGGAAGCTTTTACCTTGTAGCGGGTTGGATATACTAACAAAAAAGAAAGAGTATGACGAATTGCGAGGAGTGTTTCTCGTTGAACTATGATTGGAAATTTTATCATATAGCTTTACGCGACTTGGAAATGTTCCAATGGCGTGTATAATTGCTCGATATATGAGCAAGTGACTATGCTGTATTTCGGAACTCCAAGGCGTCTTGTCTATGGCAATGATATGCGGCATAAGTTTTTGGCCTTGTGGCCTAGGTTTCGTGTCATATCCATGACAAAAGCGCCGCGTAATCCTTCCTATAGATACCACAGACGATAGTGATGGGTATTGCACTGAATTGCCGCATTTGGCCTCAGTAAGATGAGCAATCGTTTCTTTCGATGGCTGCTAAGAAGGCACGCATATGTGTGTGGGGCGGGCAAACTTATCGCTCCTGTCTAGCGAGCTCGGTGTGCGGGCAGATATTCATCTCTAGCAGGTTGGCTTCATTGCTGGGCAAACTCGGGCCTGACCTCCATATTGGTCTGTACATGGCTCTTCAGCGCCGCCCATCGGTCCTTGACAGCGTCAGCCCCATTTGTGCTTGCTGTGGTCAACTGAGCCAAATTTGCATTGAAGCGCGCCTTCTCGAGCTTCTCGAGCTTCTCCTTCCTCTTCTTGGCGCCCTTTGTGCGCTTCATGCTCTCCATTTTTTGTTTTGGTTGTAATATACGCGCCTGGCCAAGCTCGATGTCGCCGTCTGTGTCTCCACCGGGAAGCGCATCCGCAAGTGACTCGAGGTTGGCAATGAGCTTGTTGTTTGGACGCCTGCGCTTCTGCGTCTTGGCGGAGGATTTTTCAATCTTGGAAACAAAGGATGAATGCTTAATTCTCTGCTTGTCGCGCTTGGTCGAGGGAAAAGATGACATGTCGTCGGGCTTGGGCAAGACCGCAGTGGTAGGGCGGGCGACACGAGCCGACTTTGCGCGCGCTGTTGTGCGCTTCTTGATGGGAGCCTGTGGCGCATGGTTAGTGATGCTTTTTGTGTGTAGGGCAGGCCGTAGGAAACATACCATAATGGTGCGATGCCGTTGCGAGTGTTTGACAAAGTTGGGGACGCAGTCGCAGAGCCTCGCCTGGTTGTCAGAAAATCCTTGTCGATAAGGAAAGAAGAGGATTCCATGTTCGGAAGCCCCCACACCCGACCACCTGCGACGTCGCGCACCTCGTCCTCTTTGGCGTACGTAGTACAACCTCACCTGCATCATACAGTTCCTTGTCCCACCTCATACCCGCGCGCTCGTCGGGCTTCGACTATGGCTACACCTGCTCTTGTGCATCCTAACATCAATGCGATCCCAGCCCGCGCGGGGGTCGGCTCAATCCGCCGTGGGACATGATGATACTCTTCGATTCCGATGCTCTCCCCTTACTGACTCATATCCGATGGTGCCTCCCTCGTCATCTATGAAATGTGCCCATGCCTGACGGCCTTCGCTGTGGACACATGGCTTCTTGGTGGCTGATTATGTTGGCCTGAAGTCCGAAGCATATACCAACCACAAGCATAAGCGAACACCATCGAAAGGTCCGCGTGGCCTGAGGAAGCTGCCCTCCACTCTTATCACATCTTGCAAGGCTCCATGTACACGCAGCATGACGGTTGGGGCCCTTGGCTGGCCCAACTCCACCACCGGACTTCGCTAACTACAGCTTATCCTGGCCAACATACCAGACTTCAATCAACACCAACACATACAACCATCTTCATTTCCGTTACGCTACGTGACACTATACCATTCTAATCTCCGTTTCTTTACTCAGGAAAACATGGATCCCATTCACTCTCTTCTGCCTTAGCCGTGTCAGTGTACGTGGGGTATAATTGCTTCTCGGGACTTGAAACCTACCCTGAGACGATCGCAGTGGCCTGAAAACCCTGACATACGCTGAATAGAAGCAACACGGCCACTAAAAGACCCTTGTGCTACTGTGGCGTCATTTGAGGTACCAGCATCGCGGAATCTGGACTCAGTTCCACGGCAATATTCCACCCTGGATGCCGGCATAGGCGCTACTGATATGCATCAAACAGATCCCTTCCTAACACTTCTTGCACCCTTATTCGCTCTTTTCAGCCTTCTCTATCGTTACCACTCCAATTTATGGTCTGCTTGGCGAAACCTTATGGATCGCACACCCGTCCTCCCGCGACAAAAGGCAATCATTCACGAAAACGGGGAGACGCGTACATCCTGGTGATCCGGACTCTAGAAAAGTATTACAAACATCATATTCCAATGTCCGAAACTTGGACACATCGGACTTCCTCCATGTCCACATGACCACTAAAATGTTACTTTGATAAAGATTAATCGTGCTCAATCTAATGCAATTTCCGGACGCCCATCACTCACAATGTGCGACGAGCAACCCCAACAAGAGAATGCGCTCATTTCTGCTCAAAATCATGGAACGATTCTGCTAATGGTAGTCTGGTCTCTTGCTTGCCTGCTGGTAGGATACTCCACACTGAATCATTTCCACTACTCACATATTGACGCAGACTCTCGCTGTGGTTGCAAGAATAATCGTTCGATACAGGTCAGGAAGCCACTATCATGTACCATGGACCAACGACATTGTGATATTCATTACATTCTTATGTGCTCTGGGTAGTATCATTGTTACCTCCATGGCTGTCATGTCAGGCTTTGGCAAGAAAGGCTGTCTTTTGAGCGATGGTGAGATGGAGCAGATACAGCTCAGGCTATATGTCTCCACATTATTATTCATTCTGGTCGCTAGTATATCGAAGATTTCGGCATTGGTATTTCTCTATCGCCTGGCTGCAACTGCTCTTCGAAAGGCCAGTGTAACAATTACCAGCATACTGGCTGTGACGTGGACCATCGTTGTTTTGTCTGGCATGGTCTTCCAATGCGAATTGCCAATGCCCTGGAGGATATGGACCGGCAAATGCATTCCATTGGTACGTTAGAGTATTCAATGGACATCACGCAAACATCTAACAGAAGAACAGGTACCATTCTGGATGACTATGAACGCAGCTGATACTGCCCTGGAGGCAGCTATCTTCGCACACTTCGCGTGCAGCATATGGTGGCTGCGCAAGTCATTTCATCAAAAGACACTCGCAATCCTACTTCTTTCATTAAGACTAATGTAAATGGATCTTAACCGTAAAAACGTACTATTTCCCATAACTAACTTTGGCATATAGTTTAATTGCAGAATCTGTCGTTCGCCTCGTCTACCTCACACCAGCCTACGATCGTGATGCGGGTCCAACCTACTGGTCTTTGCCCTATCACATCGCTACACAATGCCACATCGCGCTTGCTATTTTCATAGTCTGCACTCTCTACTTGAAGCCATTCATCAAACTTCAACAATCACGCTCAGATGCTCTCACGCCCAGATCGGGACTCTCAAGGCATTGGTCTAGTACCACTATTGGCGGCACTCCCTACGAATCCGAAGACCCATTTACAGCAAACATGACTGTTTCTAAAGAACCCTTGCCGTCTATTCAGGCTAGCATGTACATGCCAAAAGCATCAATTGCGACGGCAACTTTGCCAAGGCCTGATATTCTTTTACCGGATAAGCCGACGCCGAAACGATTTGCCAAACCGCCGCCTAGACCGCCGCCACCAAGAGAGTCGCTACGTCCTGATATGAGCTTGTTCGTCAGAACAAACGGAATCCTTTAGTCTGATGACTGTATGGCTTGGAGATTTGAGGAATAGCGGGCTTGGTATGTCGAAGCCAAGAACTCTGGTGTATGATGGAGGAAAACGTATACGTTGCCTTAGCACAGGCACAGGACTTGCCAAAATTTCTTTTCTTCAGATAAGGAAGCTGATCTTGACTTATTGGTCGGGAACAGGTTAAGAGCACTTACTCTAATGAATTGGTTAGTGGGAAATACGTTTGAAACATGAAATGAAATGATACCTGCATGTTTTCAGTTTCCGGAGCAAATATTTCTTGAGAAACAACCGGCTAACATATTGGGACTTCAGTACCTATATGGATACAGTGCATGTATGTGCGCCAAGTACCTGCTCTTATGTTAGGTACTCACAACTCGTCCAACATGGTACTTGGCACTTTAACATCAACGTAAAAAGGCGACTATCAAGCCCATCTTCTCCGGAACCTCCCCCAATATCAAGTCTCACTGATTCCTGGAAATCAAACACAGCCCATTCTTCCACTATGTCCTACACCCCAACCAACATCGATCTCAGAACCACCCCCTGCTTTCCCGCTTTCGATTCAACCCAAACCAACAGCCTTCTCAGCCTCCGCATATCCTCCATCTTCGTCATCTGCCTCACCTCAACACTATCAACCTGCTTCCCCCTTCTCCCACGGCGAAACTCCCGCTGGAAGATCTCCAGAGGGATATACACCTTCGCCCGGTTCTTTGGCACGGGCGTTATCATCGCTACGGCATTCATTCACTTGCTGGATCCCGCATACGAAGCTATTGGGCCGCGGAGTTGTGCTGCTGCGGATGGGGTGTGGAGTAAGTTTCCTTGGTGTGCGGGCATCGTCTTGACCTCGATCTTGCTTGTTTTCTGTGTGGATCTCGCAGCGGAAGTGTATGTTCAGGAGCAATTTCAGCAATTCAAAGATGGAGATGAGAGCGTGCGGTGTGGAGAACGGGAGGCGTTACTTGCTGCGGGACGGCAGCAACAGCAACAGCATCGAAATGGTACTGAGATGGGCGAAGACGATGAGAGTTTCTCGTCGGATACAGAGTGGAGGGAGGTATCCACGCGGTCTCATATCTCCTTTGTACAGCAAATCAGCACGCTTCTTGTACTGGAACTCGGGATAATATTTCACTCCGTCATTATCGGTTTGAACCTCGGTGTCGTGGCTTCATCGACTTTTACTACGTTGTACCCCGTGCTTGTCTTCCATCAGTCCTTTGAAGGTCTCGGTATCGGCGCTCGGCTATCGAACATTCATTTCCCTCACGACAAAGCGTGGATACCCTGGGCACTGTGTGCGCTGTATGGGCTTGCGACGCCACTGGCGATTGCGGCGGGGTTGGGTGTTAGGGCTACGTATGCGCCTGAGAGTAGAGGGGGAACGATCGTGCAGGGTATCATGAATGCTGCGAGCGCGGGTTTCTTGATTTATAGTGCTTTGGTTGAGTTGCTAGCCAAGGACTTTTTGCTTGATAACAAGAGGACGAAGGGTTTGGGGAAGCTAGGATTGATGGTTGCATATGTCTTTGCTGGTGCGGTTGCCATGGCGCTACTCGGGTATTGGGCGTAGAGGCAAGAAAGGTTGGTGTTTAAATTATGCACAGTTTGCTGTTATCATGTTTGAGATTTCCCTAGCAATTTTGATACTGGAATAGAACGAATTTTTGTGTCAAAGGTAGGAAAGTTTTGGAAGATATTGCTCTTCTCCCTGTTTCGAATAATGTTCGTGCTTACTTCTATTGGTTAAAGAAAATAATGGCTTCTATGTATCGTTTGCAAAATGCACATTATAATATACTATCAATGTGCAAGGACGAAAAAATCACTACAATGTTCCAGCAAAATTTACAACCACACTAACTATCAATTATCTTGAGCCCCACAAGGACAAAAAGAGATTTGTTAGGCCCACCTCACAGAGCACAAATCAGCAAAAAAAAGAAACACGATGTTCTCCGCTCCCAGAATCGAACTAGGGACCTTTCGATTACAATTGCTATTACAGTCGAACGTGATAAACCAACTACACCAAGCGGAGTTGTCTATTCGATAATGAATAGGCTTGTGTTGGTTGATGAGTAAGCTCAAATTTGATTCTTTTATATCCTAATAATTACATGTCGACATAAGCAATTGAGGAAATGCACTCATGCCTAATAACCATCGTGGGACGGCTGAAATGGAGAATTCCTCCGAAGTACGAAGTACGTGTGTCTAGGAGAATTTTTGAAGCTTGTATGAAGCTTGGCTCAAATAGGAAAGGGACGGTTGTGGTTGATACGAGGTCTGAGCGACACCGCATGATGTAATTCTGTCAAGGGGGAAAGTTGTCCGGATTCTAGAACGTTGGCTGTTGGCTAGTGGGAGAAGGAAGTAGTACACTTCATGCTTTTCGTATTATGATGTGGTCTGGTGAGTACGATTGCGCAGTGAGCTAGGACATGGAGGGAAGGTATTCATTGGACCGGCGGAGTAGAGAAGGTGCTGCAGAGCCTTTCCTAATAATTGAATCGTCTTCTTTTGTATTTCTGCTAAGCTGGAAACCAAAATGCATGTTTGTGTATCAGATTTTCTTTCACATAGCATTTAGAATCAGATGGATCCGGTCGTTTTCTCCGAGCTCAGATCTGCCAGTTGATCTAATGACATAATGATTGTATTGGCTTAGCATGAAGTATTTGCAAAGAACTAGCATGTGGATTTAGCCAACGTGGCGCCGTTAGCATGCTTTGTTCCCCTCATCGATGCATGGAATGCGCTGGTTGTGGTTATGCATAGCCAGCGGGAGATTTTCATAGTGCAACGCTAGTAGCCGCTAAACACGCAAGTACACTGCAAATTTCTAAGACCAATGCGAAAATTTCATGGAGTACTTGTCCCTAAGATCTTTCTGGCATGGCGACCATAAGTGATAGGGTGTCAACGCAATGCTGACAGAAGGATTTCGACTGCCCCAGGGTTTATCGAATAGTCTAGTCTACTCTTGCTAGAAACCTTGTCAAGTATCTTTCTTGCCTAAATATGCGGCACGCGCGGTGATGCGTAAAAAGAAAGACTGCACGCAGTAAGCGCCGCGACTGAGCACGAGCTGTAAAACTTCTTTCATCACACAATGCCACCCTTGTTGCCTCCAACTCACAAGGTTCCACTGGGGGACTCACAGACGCACACATCGTATGATATGCACTGCAATTTATCCTGCGTCAAGATGACCCTGTTGGATTCGCATTGTCTGTGTCTGACACAGGACCTTCGCAGCAGTATGTAAGCTAAGGCAGTTTTTCAGCTCTTATGTTGCTACATGAAATAGTTGCACAGTAAGCTTGAGTGGTACCATGTACACTGCTCGCATATCGCTACAATTCTGGAAAGATGTCCGTAATGGGGCCAGGCATGGGTTGGTCTTTGGGCGATCTGAAACAGACCCATATGTAATAATACTAGTAGTAAGAGTTAGTCTCTTCAGGCATAGGGTAGGTAAGCAATGTGTATTATGAGGAAACCATTTTCCAGATATTGCTCTCGAACAAATACAATGTTCTCTGTAATGATTTAGTCTATCTCACTTACTTACATAATCTTGCAAAATTATGTAAGGATACTACCAAGCAGGTAAACTTGTAAAATTAGGTTAGCCGACAACACTTGGTCTAGAAATAATCCCATACCTGGTACATGGCACTACATACTAGTGTTGCTTTCATAACCGCCTAAGATAGATGTCGGTGCTGATCGGACATGGTACAAAGTCAAAGCGACTAAGCTTATCAACCTAGCTGAACAGTGCGCCACTTGAGCGGTGTAAGAAAGTCTACCAGGGTTTACAAAATGGAGAAACACAAAAGTGTCTGTGTCCAAGACTAACCTCAGAGGCGCATTTCCTTGTTGTTCTTAGCCATATTAGAAACTTAATTTTGATTTACCGTTTCGGCTAAATCTATGATCTCACCAAATGGTTGATGAGTAGACGATCTTGCTTAGGGAAAAGAGAGGATAAAGACCTTTACGCATATGAACTTGGAAGACTAGAGATACGATACTCTAAGCGCCATGGCCCACCACAACTACCAAAACTTACCCTCTTCGCCATTTTCTAGCTAGTAGACCCTCGTATTTACCAATCTAACCTTTGACGATCTATCATTTACCATGAAGACCCCACCACCCACCACAACCACGCATCTACAAGCGCCTCTACCATCTAGCCCTCATGCAAGGGCAACACATCACCTAGCGTCCGAGAATTAATCTTCACAGCCACCCCTGTCAGACCCTTACAAGGTCACACACATCAACTGATCTTCCTATGCCCGGAACAACCCCTCCACTTGCGCCATTCTCTCCCCTCCCTCCTCCGTTTCACACGAACAACTCTTCAACCCCGTTAAATTACCCCTAAGCACAGATCCCCCCTTTGGCCAGGTCGGCCAAAGATAACCCGCCCCAGCGAGCCCCAACCCTTTCTCTCCCCTACTAGTCCAAATTTTGCTAAATTCCGTTACCTTTTCTTCCTCCCCAACCCCACCTTAGTCTCGCTAATCGGATTTGCAAGCCAAAACAACACGGAAGAAAAAGTGGCAAACTCTCCACTCTGAAACTCCAGGGAGGGGAAGAGAGAGTGGATGTGCAGATGGTAGTAATGTAGATCGATTCGCCCAGCGCTTGGATGTAGCCAGCTTGGCTAGGGCTTGCTTGCTGGTGTGGCTGCGGGAGGAGGGGGGGTTGGTTGTTGACGGGAGAGTTCGGGGGAATACTTAATAGGGCATGCATGTCGCATACGCAATCGTGTGAAAGGGCCTTTGGTGGAGGGGGTGTAGGGTATCGGGCGGCTTTTTTTTCTTGCGCTTACTAGCGCGTACGTACGTACGTGCGTTGCGTATACTCGTATCCTAGAGTAGAGAGGGGGAGGGTTCAGGTACTTGAGTCGTGTGATGTATTTCCATTTCAGGAACACCAAAAGATACAGGAAACAAGTTTTTGGTACGTATAGATTTTCGCAAGAACTCTCAGGGCGTGTCTTGCATACTTGGAGTTGAATTTACGGCAATACTTCGACTGAGTTATTGGCATGCCCCCCATCGGCACTTGTTTCTCTCTTTCGTCCGAGTTACTCTTTTTTTAACTCTTCTCTCGCTCAAAAACCCTTGCCGGACATCAGACGAGCGAGCATCTATTTCACCGGCTTACTGCCATCGGGTACTTATGCAAACCCGTTTCCTTGGATCGGGCCGCTGCGGAGAAAACGACAAAAATACGGGCTTTCGTTTTGTCCTCAACGAAGCACAGAGCAAAAGAGTAAAAAGAGGGAAGAAAGAAAAAAAAAGAAGGAAAAAATCTCGTTAAACCTGCTTCTCAATACCAAACGTTCCCATAGTAACTAACCACCACCCCAACAATCCCTGTACATTGACCTGAACCCAAGATATGCAACAATCCATGCTTTCTTACTTGCATATTATCTACAAATCGCCCAAGCACCACCTACATATACTACACACACGCCTCTACGTCACCACTCCGCCGATCCATGCAATGCGGTGCAAAAAAAAAAACTTGGCAAAGCCCTCGTAACTTACTTACTCGCAAAGCAAGGTCTACTACACGTACGTGCGTCGCGGATCTAAATCCGCTACTAGGTGAAGAGGGAAAAAAGAAATGAGTAATAAACCATGCAATTAGGGAAAAAGCAACAAAAAAAAGGAGGCTAGGCTGGCGCGAAAGATAACCATGCACGACATCAAACGCTCCGAAGTGGTGCCGCGTCCAGAACTCAAGTATGAGTATCGATGTGATTCAACCATCCCTTTTCCCCCTTGTACTGTGGCCTATATGTGGGTCAGGCAGGGAACTTGCGATACATACTCACAATAAGCAAGAAGATGATGGTGATGTGAATTTTGGTTAATGGTGCCGGGGACAAGGAGGACCTGTGTCCTTTCTATTTCAAGAGAACGGGGCTAAGAATAGATTTGAGAATGGGATTGCAAAAAAAAAAGTGGAAGTGATATATGTGGGTATCTTGGTTTTCTCGCCCCAACAAAGGGTGCTCTCAAAACGAAGAAGAGAAGTTGGCAGCCAGCATTACAGCTCAAGCAAGTTCAAAAGTGGCGAGATAATCATGCAGCGACATTTGCTGGCAGAATCTGATTGGAGGATCGAGGCTTGCTCTAGCGTTCTGTTGGTTACCTGTGTGTATGGGGAAAGCAAGCAATGAGAGAGTTTATTACATGTATAGTGTGTATGTATGGTGGGGGAGGAGGGGTGAATCGTGATAGATGGGGAGCTGCCAAGACTTTTGGCTCATCGGTGAGAGAGGGGTGTCGAACCGCAGCATCTAGTAAACCTGCACCGTTAGCGAATGCACCATTTTGGGCTCCAAGCAGCATCTCGATCATCGAGAAAGAGTGAGTGAGTGTGTGTGTGTGTGTGTGTGTGTGTTGGGGGGGGGGGGCGACGGGGGGCAAGAAATCACAGGCAAGATGTAAAATCGACGATGGGACAGAAGCACATGATGAGAGAAGATTGAAGGGAGGATATCTGCGCTAGCTGATACGACACTGTCTCGTTTCTCTCTCTTGTTGGGCTTGATGCCCAGACGGGTACTTGAATTTGACAGGCATGTAACACGCACACCAGGTGATGCAGGCAGGCATCGAGTTAGGTCTGTACCTCTATCTTGAGTGTGACCAGGATGGCCTGATACTGTCACTCCCGCTGTCAGTAACGTAGCTGTCAAAATGCTGTCCTCCATCGCTTCTGCGAACATCCATTGGTGATAAGGCGCTAAACCATGCCCCTGGAAGCCCTCCTGCATCATTCTTGCTTGGTTGAGCTAGGAAAGGCTTGTTGCGAAGGCACCTGGCTAATGTGGTGCTCTAGCCCTGCGCAGTAGCCGTTGGTCCAAGTGGGGTTGAGTACGCCGTGTAACATTCACAACGCGTGTTTGCATGCCGGCGACCGTATGGAAAACTTGTAGAGGAAGAGTGACATGTGTCGTGCTAGCGTGATTCGCCGTGTACTTTGAGCGACGTATTTTACCGTCACGAATCATCGCAACACTGCATCGTGACAGATCTGTTTTGGGAGCACCTTGCACAATGGCAGAAGCCAGATGAGCCTACCCTTGGCTAGGAAAAACAAATCGATAGCCCTAAATGAGAAAGGTCCAGAAGCTTGGGTATACGAATTCGTCCTCGAAGATGCGCCTGACTTGCTCCAACACGAATGATTCTACCTTGCCCACGTTCTTGAGAACTTGTTTACCACTGCCCTGGCCACCAATCTCGCTTTCGACTTTGATGTTTTCCAGGAGCCCTCCAATCTTGGGGCGCTGCACAGGGCGTGGATTTTGGCCCCGTGCGTCTGTCTGAAGACCGTTGAAGCCAGTGTCACTGCCGACTAAGGCGTCTGCATCATCAGGCGACAAGAAGCAGAAATGGGCCCGCTTCTTGATGTAGGCGAGAATAGCAACACCATCAAATGTAAGCCCAGTAATGTTTAGTTTGAGAGGGATGCCGACAAAGCTTGGCATGGGGTAGTCAAGAAGGATTTCCGCAGTCAGAGACATTTTGATATCCCCAGAATATTGCACATGCGTCACGACTTGAATATCATCGGGACTCTTTTCGTGCATGCGATTTGGAGATGCAGATGGGGTCCGGACATAGCTATCTTGAGAAAGGCCATCATCCGACCCAGCAAAAGACGGCCTCTTGGGCTCATCCTGTTGATGTCGCGAAGAAGGCCGGGAGCTAGGGTCTGGATGAGACTGTGGGGTGAGTGTTAGCGAATTGACAGACGCAGCGTGACGAAGACGTATATTGGTCGGAGTTGCCGGCCGACCATGGGGGTTATCGAGCCAAGTGTGTAGCTGTGCGCCAGCTACAGCAGCGAGAGGTGTTGCAGCACCAGATAAGCCTGCGCTCAAAGGAAGATGGAAGTAGTTCATGTTGGAGGTGCCACCGGGGATGCCTGGTGTGAGTGCCCCAGGAAAGAAGGGACTGCCCATCTCGTTGGGAGCTAACGAACCACGCTTGTTGGACGGCCTAGTGCGAGGTTGAGACGGGCGTACGTGGGCATGATCGGGGTGGAGTCGTTGCGGATTTGCTGTCTCACGACTGCCTCTTTCTTTGCCATGCCTGTCCCTCGATGGGCGGCGTGATGGGTCTCTCGACTCGCGTAGCTTGCCATCAGTGTGTAAAGCTTCGTCGTCAGGCTCGGGCTCGGGCTCGCCGCCTTGCTCGTCTGGATAATCCTCATCATCCTCGTAGAAGTCCGGCAGTGGGTCGCATATGTCCTTGATTTCAATTTCGGGAGTGACGCTGCCAAAGTCGAACGAGTGCACGTGAACGGAGCGAATGAAGCGCGGCAGCGTCACTTGCTGGAAGCGGTCATGGATAAAGGCGCGTATTTTCTCTGCACGGGCGGAGCCTTCTGTGCCGCCTGTGATGGTGTCCCAGTTGATATCAATGGACATTGCTGGAGATTGGATGTTGGGATGGGTTGATGACAGAAAGCCACGGCTACTGATACCGGATGGGGATGAGCGCACCCCCGGGCCGGGCGCACAAACAACGATGCCGAGCAGCGGGCCAGTTAGCAGCCTGCCCACTAGGTCGTCGCTTGCGCAGTTCATCTCTTGACGAAACCTTCGGATGTGATGAGGCTGTCACATCCGCATCAATACCCTGTCTGCCGTACCGCTTGGTGCGTCGCTTGACTCAATCCTCTGCAGCGAGTCCCGCATGTGTTGAAATCCTTACCAGGATGCGGCCTCAGTGTGTAGTCGAACATATGCGGGATGCGGAACCACGAACCAGAAGAAGGAGCCATTGCGCTGTCGCATGTGCCGCTACAGACGCGCCCATGTTGCAGATCGTCCATGTGATGCTGCTGGAGAATTAAGAGCAACAGACGAGGCAATAGAGGCCAGGTCGAGAACAGGGTTGCCACTGAGCATCTGCCACAGGATATTAAATTAACATTGACGACGCGGACCAAGAAGGCAAGCAGGCAAGCACGTAATCTTGTCAAGCGCTTCCAGGATGCGTCACAGTCATGCGTGTGATGGCAAGGCTTGTCTGGGTGTATGGTGTGGCTCCGGTTTTGGGTAAACGAACCACGACGGCAGAAGTCTGCCTGAATGGCTTCTAGAAGAACCGTTACCCGGTCGGCCACGGACAAGCCAATGCGCGCGTCGATGTACGCCTCCAACAAGGTACTGACATACATCATACATATGTATATCAAAGTGCACGTATACCCGGCGGACTCGGCTATTTGGCGATCAGAGGAGACACAGTGTGGCACACCTACACAGCCCGCGGCTTTGCATTCTCATCACACCAGACCAGAGGCTATTGGCAATAAGGTTCCCCTACTAGTGGTTTGGCCCGAGGTACGCATCATGCCATGCTGCATCCTCTTAGGACAATACTTACTGTACCTGAGCTGACAGCAGTTATCCATGTGCCGCGGCCCGTCCCTTAGTAGGATTGCTACTTTGTCTCGAGCATCATGCCATATTGCCCTCATCTCCAAGTCGGGTGTTACGGCCGGTGCTAGGTGACTAGCAGGTGCGGCATGACAGAAAGTTGAGTTTGATCTATTGTATCCTATCACAATCCAAGAATAGACAGTGCCTCGGCCACATTTACTCGCCTACAGGGGTTCCTAGTGCCAGGCCTTTTCACCAGCTACTCAAAACCAATATAGCAAAAGGGCGAAGCGCCTGGGTTGTTGTTTCGACTCGCATTAGCGACTTTGAGGCTGGCGTAGGCAGTGCCTCGAAGGGTCGTCTGAGGAGGGTAGACTAGCAGATTGGCGAAAAACGGCAGTGCATGTGGCTGCTTGGGCGTGACACTGTCTCGTAGATCAGTCGTGATTCATTGGCTGTGGATATGGTCTCGGGATGCGCGCCAGGCGCGCAATACAAGCATGAGCTCCACAAGTAAATATTATGGCTACCCGATTCAAGAAGGAGACCTCTATACCGGGTGCCTACGTGTTGATTGACTTGCTCGTATACTGGATTTGCCCCCCCTCCCTCATCCCAGGGAATGTGGGGCACCAGGGACTGCAGACAGCCATGTGGTCATGGCAACGACAAGATAACAAGAAAGAAGCCACATGGCTCAGCGTCGGCCCATCGCACGACCATATTAGAAAAAAAGCGTGGTATCCATGAAGTAAGAAAGCTGTGAAAGTAGTACAAGTGAGAATGTGTCTCGCAACACCAGCCTGTATCCCAAACGCCCGACTTTGTGGGCTCATAGTCCAAATAAGTCACAACACCCCCTAAAACGCCAAAACTTTTTTTTCGAATTCCGTGACGCCGTAAAGTGCAGACTTGACATGGGGTGGGAACTGAAGCCTCAGGACAGAAGCTGGCCATGCTCCCCCAAGTCATGGACGAGGAGCAGCAAGAGCGGCAGCAGCAAGGTGCCAGATGAGTATGATAACGCGGCAACGGTAAAGGCCCACAAGGTGCAACTGGCGAGGTATTAGACGAGGGGTATCGTGCGAAGAAAGCGACGGCAACACACTAGAGGCAGGCTTGTCAGACCGGGAGTGACGTGCAGGGGTAAGGGGGGAAGCGGCAGCAAGTACCTGTCAATGGTCACATCTATCACACTTCTCGTCGTGCTTGACCGTCTTTGTATTGCTCACGCCGCAGGGCGATGTCCTCGACGTGGCGCATGGGGCCTTTTCCGCAATCTCGTGGCCGCAGCCGTATTTGTGTACGACCTTGGTACACATGTTGGCGGTACTATAGGAGCGGGGAAGGCGCGGCCGCACGGCGGGGGGAAGGCGCCTCCTGCAACGGCGTGGGAGGAAGGCGAGACGGCGGGCGGGCGAGAGCAGGGAAGGTGGGGGTGGGCGCAGAGAGGTGCTGATTGGCCAGGGGTGGTGGAGAGGTGTTGCTTGGTGCAGACGGCTGCTGTGGCAGCTTGAGACGGAGACGGCAATGCGGAGCGCAGCTCGACGGGAGGGAGCTGGCACGGACAACGAGCAAAGAAGAAGAGCAGCAGCAGCAGGAGCAACAGCAGCAACAGCAGCAACAGCAGCAACAGGACCAAGGGCGGCCTAGGCAGCGTGTGGGCGAGAACAGGCGGCGGGGCAAGGTGACGGCGAGTGACAGCAGCAGCAGTGGCAGCAGTGGCAGCAGTAGCCGTAGCAGCAGCAGCAGGCCGGCAGGAGGAGTGGCAGCTAGGGTGGGTGAGGGTGAGAGTGCTGGAGAGGAATTGGTCGGAGCGTCTTGGGAGGGCACAGGGCGGGCAGCGCAGAGCGATTTATAAGACAGACATTGCAGCGAGCCAGCGTGACGGTAACGGTCGAGAAGTTGTTAGATTGCCTTCGCTCCCGTTTGCAACGAGGCGCGACAGTCTTGTACAGCCGTTGGCTCCGTGCGGAAAGGCCAGGACATACATACGCGGAGCTGCTAGCCTTGACGCCTGGGCCGCATAGCTGCAGCTGCAGCCAGCAGCGCATCGGCCAGGGTGATCCCGCCTCCTGCCCAGCGCCAGCGCTGTGACCACCAGCCGTCGGCCAGTGCAGCAGCCCACCAGCAGCCCACCAGCAGCCCACCAGCCCGCCCTCTGCCCAATCGCCCGCTGCTGCACCGCCGGACGCACGGCTGCGGCGTGAACCTCCAATCACGCCCCACATGCTTTCTCCTCACCACACGCTGCCCATCCTGCCCATCCGCCCCGCCATCACGCCGTCCGCTCTATCAAGCATGCGCCGCCCACCGCCCACCGCCTCCGCCTCTTGCAATGAGCCCGTCCGACCGCTGCTGTCACGCTCCGTCCTTGCGTGACCAGCCACAGGGCTGACAAGCTGCCAGTATCATACCGACTTGCTGCACCGGCCCGTCCGCCCAAAGCAGCACACAGCCTGCTGCTGCTGCTGCTGCAACACCATGCCCGCCGTCTGTCCACTGTCTGCTGCCCGTCCACGTCCACGCTCCCGAGTCTGGCGGTGCCGGCTGACTCAAATGCAGAGGGCTCGACTCACGCCGTAGCTTCTTCACCTCTCGCGCCTGGACCACCCTCCTGAGCAATGAATGCTACCCTGGCTCGGCTCGCGGATGCACACCATTGGCACATGGCACCCTGGTCGCTCTCGACGACTCGTAGCCCGCTGCGGAGGAGGAGCCAGGAGAAAAAGAAGCAGAAGAAGACGGCAAGCGCAGCCACGCCTGCCGTGCGCTGACCAACTCCACCATGGCGGCCGGGCACGGGTGCTACCTTGACTACTTACAACCACCACTACCACCACCACCACCACAAGGGTGGCCCCTTGCATATTGCATACCCGCCTCAGGGCCAGCGGCATTGCAGCGCCTGCGAGGTTAAAGGTAAAAGTGTCGTGACGGCAGGTGCCAGTCCCGCAACGACGTCGTCTGGGAATTGGCAGGCCCAGATTTGGAAATTGCAAACTTTGGCGTATGCATGACTGTCGCCATGCATGATTCGCGACGCCATGGAAACATTTCATGCTGCTCACATCCGTCAACATCCATAGTTTATAGCTAATAAATGAATGGAGCGGCATAATCACAAACAATCAGCAAACCATGCCGCCTCCCCCATCACGCTGCCCTCAGCCCAGAATGTCAGCGTCGGTTGAAACGCCAAAAGTGAAGACGGGCGGCCAATGGCCCGTTTCCTCATCAAATGCGACTGCCGGCCGGCTTGCCTCCACATCACGACGGTCACAGGAGGAAAAAGCAATGGCCGCATACGAGTGCAATGTGGCCATATGCGCTGCCTCCAGGACGCGGTGCATGGCGCTGTGCAGTAGGATCGCGATACAAGCACTGGCGGGCGGATGCTGTGTAGCCTGTCAGATTTTCTTGTTCCATGTCTCTTCAACGGCCGCAGGGGTAGCTGGGGGACACGTTGCCCAAAGCGCTCTAGCCTTTCGGCCCGCTCTTACCTGATCGACCTGTACGACCAGGAACTCCACAATGCAGACGCGCCGCCGCTCATCCAACAGCAACACGGCCTGGTTTGTTTTTGGCTGGTGCAGCATCTGTGCATCTGCTTAGCCCATCGCAACTCCTGCTCCTGCTCCTGCTCCTCCAAAAGCAATGCGTCTCGTATACCTGCAACACTGTTTTTTTGCGCTTCCGTGCACAAGCATTCGTCAGCTCGAACCAGGTTCGCTTTCTCTCTCGCTTCTTGCTGCGGCCGGCACTGCATGTGGCTTGTCCCCATGGCCCCCGACGCGCATCACAGCAGCCTCATCTGACCAACGACGTGGTCCGGCGTTTTCTCGGCAATCTGACATTGCTCACTGTATGTACTTAACTGCATGGGCAGATCGCTGCAGTGTGGGGTGCTGAATACGTCCACACACTCGACAGACACTGCGCCCTTTCGATTATGCAGTCGCTCAAACTATATGCATTGACGACTGCAACTGATGAGCCTGGTGGCGATCTCCACGACGCCATATCTCGGCTGCGCTTACCACGCGCGGTGCGCTACACTACGGTAGTATCTATTAATGCGCTTGTCACAGCGCTACTTTTCCCCAACCCTCGCCCTCGCACTATCAAAATCTCTTCAATGTACGTCTCGCACCAGCTACCACCCCCTCCGTGGAAGCCATGCACTCAATATCCTGCCAACCATGGCACATGTACCGTGCATGTTGTTGGGAGTTATTTCTGGTCTATTTACTGCAAAAGGATCTGCGTCCGAGATGCGTGGTGCTAACCGGGCCAGGCGCCTCTACATACATAGTACGTTGGCACATGGACAAGCATGGCCTGAGTGCAGTCCATTGACGAGTGCGACTAGCATTCACACTCCACAGGGTTGCCACGACGGTACTTGCCGGACAAACCCGTCCCGCCTAAGAATTCATCCGGCACCTATCTCTCCCTCACCCGTCCGTAATCTGTCAAATATTCTGCGCGTGTGTCAGTCAGAAACCAAACATGAACCTGCGACTCAATTCGCGATAGCAGGCCATGAATTGTGCAAGTCTAAACTCGGAGCCAAGCATTTTCCATATATCCACGCTATCACGAGCCGACCAATCCCGACGCCCATCTTGTCTCAACATATATCAATCAACTCTGCTCGGCCTGTTTTGCATCAAATCCTAATTATACGTGACCCACACAGCAGCAGGAAAAATCCATGGCGACCTGAAAATAGTCACACCAAAATCCTTTACTGGCTGGCATGGTGCTCTTTTGCTATTGCTTGACAGGGACATGCTCTTGACAGCAGCTTCTTGCGGAACATGCGGAGATTTGAGAGCGAAATGCAAGGTACAAAAGTCCACGTACCGCGTCAGTCGATCAGTCGGTGCATGATTGGACGCTGATGCGAATATGCGGCATATGTAGGATCTGCAGCACCTCCGTCATTGGTGGTAGATTAGCCGTACACCCGCGGTCTTTTGAACTGCTACAGGGTGCGTCGACACCATCTATCTATTGCAGATCACCATCGTGTCCATATGCGCATATCGGCAGATGTTGCTGCGTAAAGCGCTCGCGACTCTTTGCAGTACCCTAGTCGCTTTTTGTCCTGTAAAGCGGACCGTCAATATTTCGGAAACCGTTTGGCCCAGCGACAGAAGAGGTCAAGCTTGCATACTAGCTTGCAGCCTGCATGAAGCTGTCCTCCCACTCCCGAAGCTTTGCGGTGTAGAGTCACATTCGGAACCTCAAGCTGGTCTACGAAACATGACGCGCTACAGCTGTGGCGGCTTGCTTAGTCCCAGCGTGGTATGGTGTTGGATGTCGGTTCGCGTACTGCTTGCACATGCATCCGACAAAAGAAACGGCTATCGTGGTATCAGCTATCTGTGTTGGAACCCGAAAGCTTGCAAGATGCTCATGCCAGTGGAGTTGGCACGGCCTCATGGCTCGGCCAAGCCGCACCCATTCATGTTGTCTGCATTGCTCGTCTTTTGTCGGATTCTTCCATCATATTTACCATATCACAGCGTGTGCATGAAGTACACATTGTGTAATTCTATAGTCGCTCTCCATATCTTTCTCTGCTCTGTTTATCGCCTGTCATGGCCAGCAAATCTGGTGCGGGGCACACGCACGTGGGATTCTTTTTTGTAGTCGTCATTTGACGTCACCAGTAAACCAACATCGAGGCACATTTCTCTGATTTTTTTTGGCGTGCAAAACCTCGTACTCTAGAACGACTCTAATAGGAGAAAGGTCCGATAGGCGTCAGAGATTTCCGATTCCTCATCATGGAAATCTGGAATTGACTGCGAATGCGCTGGGGCGCGGGGCGCATGGCAAAGTTGAGTCTCGCGTGGTACATCGGCGTCGCTCGGCAGTCGATTGAATCGATCAAATCGAGATGATCGAACATCATCTTCGCTACAATTGGCTGTTTACATCAAATCCACTTCCCACCGCTTCGTCAAAGTGCAGTCAATGACCTGTCGAAGTGCGTGTCAGAGTGGTTTAGGCAACTCAATGCCGGACGACCATTGCCTCACGTCGCCATGACGTCAAGATGTAAACATGTGTTTGCGACGCGACACCCTCGTAGGAGTACAAAGGGAACGCTCCCCGCGAGCCTCAAAACTTGTCATCTCGACAATAGACATTGCCAGCCGACTCGACTTTGACAAATCGAAAACATGGCATCTGAAATACTAGGCAACGTTACGGAGAAGGCCAAGGACCTTGCTGGGTCCAAGTCGACCAAGATGGCTCAGCTTGCTGAAGTCACCAAAGATGTCCACGACGACAAGTGGAGGATTACCAGCGACTATGGAGTGAAGCAGAACAACACCGACGACTGGCTAAAGGTTGCCACGGACGACCAGACTGGCCCTATGTTGCTCGAGGACCAATTTGCGCGTGAAAAGGTATGCTTGGCCATGAACCAGCCGACGTATTCGCCACATGGCTAACAGCATTAGATCCACCGATTCGACCATGAAAGAATTCCCGAGCGTGTTGTTCACGCGCGTGGCTCGGGTGCTTTTGGAAAATTTACTCTTTTCGAGTCGGCCTCGGATGTCACATCGGCTGGCATCCTCACGGATACTTCGCGCGAAACTCCAGTCTTCCTACGATTCTCGACTGTGCTTGGTAGCCGTGGTTCTGCAGACACTGTCCGCGATGTGCGCGGCTTTGCTGTCAAGTTCTACACGGAAGAAGGCAACTGGGATATTGTGGGTAACAACATTCCCGTCTTTTTCATCCAAGACTCGATGAAGTTTCCCGATGTGATCCATGCTGGCAAGCCGGAGCCGGACTGCGAGGTCCCACAAGCACAATCTGCTCACAACAACTTCTGGGACTTCCAGTACATGCACCCCGAAGCCACGCACATGTTCATGTGGGCCATGTCTGACCGCACGATTCCTCGCTCGTACCGAATGATGCAGGGTTTCGGTGTCAACACATACACTCTTATCAATGCCAAGGGCGAGAGGCATTTTGTCAAGTTCCACTTCACACCTGAACTTGGTGTTCACAGCTTCGTCTGGGATGAGGCGCTGAAGATTGCTGGTCAAGACCCAGACTTCCACCGCAAGGACTTGTGGATGGCCATCGACAGCGGTGCGTACCCCAAGTGGAAGTTTGGCATTCAAGTCATTCCCGAGGCAAAGGAGCATGACTTCGAATTCGACATTCTCGATGCTACCAAAGTATGGCCTGAGGAACTTGTGCCCGTCCGATACATTGGCGAGCTTGAGCTCAACAAGAACCCTGACGAGTTCTTTACACAGACTGAGCAAGTCGCCTTCTGCACAAGCCACATTGTTCCCGGCATAGGCTTCAGCAACGACCCCCTTCTACAGGGCCGCAACTTCTCTTATCAAGACACTCAACTCTCTCGTCTGGGCATCAACTGGGAAGAGCTACCAATCAACAAGCCCGTCTGCCCCGTCATGAACTTCAACCGTGATGGTGCCATGCGACACACAATCACAAAGGGCAAGGTCAACTACTGGCCCAACCGCTTCCAGACTGTGCCACCTGCGACAGAGAAGGAGGGTGGATACGTGGAGTTCCCTGAGAAGACTGCCGGCATCAAGGTGCGCATGCAAAGCAAAAAGTTCAGGGAGCACAAGAGCCAGGCCGAGCTCTTCTACAACTCCATGTCGGAGAACGAAAAGATGCACATGAAGGCTGCTTTTGCCTTTGAGCTTGACCACTGCGACGATCCGGTTGTGTACGAGCGCCTCTGTGAGCGTCTGTGCGAGATTGATCTCGAGCTCGCTCAGAGTGTTGCCGAGATGGTTGGCGGCGAGCAACCGACCAAGCAGACCCGGCCCAAGCACAACAAGACAGCCAAGGGCCTGTCGCAAATGGACTTTCAGCCCGAGAAGCCTACGATTGCGACTCGCATGGTGGCAATTCTTATTGCCGACGGCTACGACAAGGCTGCCTACACTGGCATGAAGGCTGCTTTGACTGCGGCTGGGGCTCTGCCTTTTACCATTTCGCCGAGAAGGAACAAGATCTTTGCGGATGGAGAGGACAGGAGCGGCTCTGGAGTAGTGGCAGACCACCATCTTGAGGGCCAACGATCGACCATGTATGACAGTGTCTTCGTTCCTGGTGGGGCCAGGTCGATTGAGACGCTCAGCAAGAACGGACGTGCGGTACACTGGGTGCGTGAGGCATTTGGCCACCTCAAGGCCATTGGTGGTACCGGCGAAGCAGTTTCCTTCATCAAGCAGGCTGTGGATCTACCCGGCATGGAATTCTCAACGTCGGGCGATGTGGTCAACAGCTACGGAGTCGTTACGGCTACGGCAGTGCAGCCCGAGAGCTTCAAGGAGGCGGTCAACATGGTGAAGGAGGCCAAGGACTTTGCGAGCGCGTACATGTATGCGATTTCGCAGCACAAGAACTTTGAGCGCGAGACTGCGGGGCTGAACGCCATGGTTGCATACTAAAGGCAAGGAGATGATGTGGAACAGCCTACTCTAATGACTTAGCTGATTAATGTTTATGATACCAATTGCGCAAAGCGTCGATACCCTACTCTTCTTGGTGGTTGCTGTTGTCTGTTGGCGGAGGAGAGGCATTGCTTGTGATGCATTCTGATTTTGTACATGCTTTTCTACAGGGTCTTGGGACGTCACTCTGGTCAGCCACGCCATGTGGTTGTCTCTTGGCGTTGAAACTACGTTTCTGCAGCTGTAGGGGGAGCACATGACGAAGTATTAGTATAGGGACAGAGCGGGCCGACTCGAGTCGACACAAGCTACGGTGCCAGGGCGCTGTCATGTTCTGGGCATATTGAACATGTAGGCTTGGTGCGGGGTACCAGGAAACTTGAAACTTACGCAGCTCGTCGGCGTCACATCTCTCTCGCGGAGGCGGAGGCTGCACTGCTGAGCCACAGGGCCACAAGCCCCGCGCTCCATTGGCGGCACTGCCCGCGCTAGCCTCTTTTGTGCGGGCTGCGCCCTTGAGCTGAGCAAAGGGCGATACAGCGGTTTAGCGCTCACCGCGACCCACTGCGCCGCTTTCGCTGCATTCACCCTCAGCCATTTGACTGTGCATTAACATCCCCCCCATCGCTCCCCGCAGACTAGTGTGCGATCAGACTGAATGTGCGGGATGCGGGAGATGCATATCTGATAGCTAGCTTGTACGTCATTCAATACATTCCGCATCCTTCGTTGCGTCGCGAACCTCTCTCTTGGCACAACCGTAATTTACACGCGGCTGGCGGCAATTCCTCGCTATTCTTCTCACCGGTGGCCTGAACCTCGGACGGTGATCAACACTCAGCCCTTCAGCGCCGGCAAGGGCTGCATGGATGACTCTAAACGCGAAACGCTATCAGTTTGTAGGCGCAGCGCCCTTTGATCTAAAATACCAAACACCACGCCTGAGGCTTCTACATACCCTTTCTTCCGCCATTTTCTGCTCACACCCTTAGAGCCCGTGATCATCAAACGTCGACCAAGACGCAATCAAGGCGCCTTTTCTACCGACGCCGCCCTCTTGACACAGACCATCTAGGAAACATCATCAACGACATGGATCATCAGGGCGCAGGATTCGCCTTTGATTCCAACATGGATTTCAGCAACATGTTCGCGGCCACGCCCGAGACATTGTTCAAGCCGGCGGATAACACTTCTGGCTTCTTCTTCGCTGACGAGGGCATCGACACCACTGCCTCATCCTTTATGGATCCCGTCACATTAGGCACGCCCCAACAGGGCGCCTTCGACATGAACATCCCATCTGCTGCGAGCTACTACCCACAAACGCCAGCATCACAGTTTCTTGCTTCCATGCCCACACAGCTTAATACCTACGGAAAGCGCCCCCTACAGCTCGAAGCTGATGACTTCCCCCAATCCAAGCGTCAAGCAAGTTATGACTTTCCTCTATTCCCAACACCACCCGCCACAAACACCACCTCAAGCTGGGGCCTGGAGGCCACTCCTTCAACTACCACAGTAGAAGGTTTGTCGGATGAAGCGGCTGATGTCTGCGCAACATGGTTCACCAAGTTCAACGTGCTCCCTGGGTATGTACCCCAAGTCTTAGGCGTCTGATTTTTGATTTGCTAATAGTCCTTGAGTGACCGACACATTGATTCATTAAGCCAACTCACTGGTGAGTCGGCAGATGCGATCCGGAGCTGGTTTGGCCAGCTCTTGAAGCAGGGCATGGGCAAGGGAGGCCCAAGTGACTCCGCTTACAAGTCCCAAACCGCACACATCCAGCAGCAAGACTCGTTCTGGAATGATCACACTTACCAAACAGACCTTCTGCAGACCTCGCCATCACAGCCACTACTACTGGAGAACATCACTACCCCAGAAATTTCATACAGCCAGGACAACGTTGTCTCAACTACCGTCCAGCCAGTCACCGCTACCAGAAGCTGCAAGAAGCGCTGCACACCTACCGATGACCTAGAGTTGCTTGGTCGAGACCCCAGGAAAATCTACCAGTGCACTCGGAAGTGTGGCAAGCGGTATGGCCGAAAGAACGACTGGAAGAGAAAAGAGGAGGAGGGCTACCCATGCAAGTCATGGGTATGCAGTCTATGCGTCAGTGAAGGCGTGGAGAACGTCAAGCCATGCTACAGGAAGTATCATTTTGTGCAACACTTCCGAAACATCCACGCCGACGTCGACCCTGATCAATACGAAGAGGCGAGCGTAGTATACTCGGAGACAGAGTTCCCACGAAAGTGCGGATTCTGTCGCCACCGGTTCTCGTCAAGACAGGAGCGAATTGATCATATCGCAGACCACTTCAAGCAAGGCAAGTGCATGCTCGACTGGCGCGATGACGATGACAACAGTGGTGGCGATGACTCCACCGACGATGACAACGACGACCGACCAAGTGGAGACGGTTTCGATGGTAGCCCTTCCTTCCAGCCACCACCCTTCCATCCACACGGCAACAACTCCAAACCTTCTGGCGACCAGGGTAGCAGTGGCGGCTCTTTAGGGCAACCACCTCAGAGTGGTTTCTTCCACTTCCAGCTCTCACAACTTGGTGAGAGCCAGCGGTATTGTGCGGTCAAACCTACCAGACCCACTACACTTTCGCCGAACATCTCTCCGTCATCAATCTCAATTGATCGCGACGGCACGGCCCAACAAGACGAGTCGTTCAAGTCACAACATCCACTCGACAAGTACATTCCGACAAAGGGAGACTACAAAGCTACTCTGGCCGGAGATGCTTTCGCCCAGCCCATGATTAGGGAAGGTGGGTCGTCGCAAGACGAACGAACTGACAAGCGTGGCTTGGAACATACCTCTGGAATCAGTGCAGCCGCTAGTACCGAGATTGAAACGCTGATTTCGACTCTCGCACCTTCTTGGAACCAAGTAGGAGCATCACTGGATGAATTGTCGATGAGCGAAGAAAACCCATCATCTGAGTCGTTACCAGACGCAACAGTAACAGCACGCTCCCAATGCAGCGATGCAACAGATCAACTACCGAACCGACAGTCAACCCCACATGCGCTGAAGTTCTCACGTGCCTTCCACAGCATCAAGCTCCTTGGTGCTGGAGGCTTTAGCACAGTCGACGAAGTCAAGCATCAACAAACGGGCCTGCGTATTGGAAGGAAGACACTTAAGAATCGTAACCAGACGGCGCTTGAGGAACTCAAGAAAGAGGTCAATGTCCTTCAAAAGCTACGCCACCCGCACATTATTCGCTTCCTTGGAGCCTACTCAAAGGGAGACAAGATGTCGATACTGCTGTCGCCTGTTGCAGAAACAACACTGGCAGTCTGGCTCGACCGGTCAGCGTTACAACGGCCTACCAACCTGTTCGAGACCATTATGAAGATGTTTGGTTGTCTCTCTTCCTCTGTCAGGTACCTCCATGAGCAGCGGCCGGTTGTTAAGCACATGGACATCAAGCCCCAAAACATCCTCATTGTCGATGGCGATCAAGAGTTTCCCCACGTCATCCTTTCCGACTTTGGTGTCAGTTGTGCGGAAGACGTATCGGACGAGCAATCGCGACCCTGGACACGCCAATATATCGCGCCTGAGGTCGTCGAAGGCTTCACTCGTAAGCAGGCTGCCGACATCTGGAGTCTGGGATGTGTCTTTGCAGAGATGGCATCTGTTCCATTGAGTCAACACAATTCGGAATGGTCAGCCTTTAGCAGGGAATACAACGGTCGCACAGGAACGTATTACTGGCAAGACGTACCAGGCGTACAGAAGAAGCTCGCTATGTTCTTTGACTCAGCAAGGAGTCCGGATGAACTGCTTCTTGTACGCGCGCTCCAAGCTATGTTGCGTGCCCAGCCCGATGAGCGGCCGGATGCAGCATCGCTCACAATGATCTTTGCTCCTGCGCCGTGCTGTCTCAACTGGCCGAACGACAAGATGACATTCCCTGGCCCGCATGAGGAGCTGCTAGAGGTCGAGAGATTTGGGAAGCACCACCGCATTGATGGCAATGCCCAGCCTCATCTGCATCACAAGGATGCGAACGACTGTTCTGACAGTGTCCCCATTGCAAAGACCTGGCTGGATAATTGTTTGTGCACCCACAGTGCCTGTCGCCACTTGTCCTCGGGCTACTCTACCGATCTCCCTAGACGCCTGATTGATATCCTTCCGGAAGGCCAGGCTAGCAACTACGTTCGCATAGTTGAAAGCGAGTCTCTTGAGGAACAGATGCAACATGTTCAATATGTTGCACTCAGTCACGTATGGAGTGACACCGAGCCTCTACTCTCAAGCAATTCACAATCGAAGATGCAATCTGAACTCGTACTGGAAGCACTGCCTAGTGCAGTAAGAAATGCAATTTCAGAGGTTCAACGTTTCGGGTTCCGATACTGCTGGCTGGATTCACTCTGTGTGCTCCAGGATTCAGATCAAGAAAAGGAACAGGAGTGCACAAACATGTCTTCAATCTTCCGCAACGCGGTTCTCACCGTTGTCCTTGACCAGCTTGCAAATGCCAGCACACGCAAGGACGTTGAGAATGCGACCAAAAATGCACAGTTTGCCTCGACGATTTCTCCCATCAAGAATAGGACCACAATCGCGACTCCAGCCTCCGCCTTACTACCCTCTTCTGTCCTCACAGTCCCCAACCTGGGCTGGGATACTCGGGCCTGGGCACTCCAAGACCGTCTCCTGAGTCGCCGTTTCCTGCACTTGGGCGAACAATCATACTGGGAATGTAACACCCTCAAGGCCTCCGAGACCTTCCCCCGCGGTCTACCCGCGCTCCTCTGGGAAAAGGTCCACACACAATGTAGCGACGATGGCGAAGAAATGCGTGCACAAGCAAGTAGCGCGTTTCCTAGTGCAAAGATCTTCGCCATGGAGTTTGACGATGCACACAATGCAAACACGATTCCGCATCAGAAGCCCGCCGAGCCGCGTCCGCCACTGCCGGGTGCCAGTCGTTTACGCGACTGCCAGTGGGTTAAGAAGCAAGGCGATGATGCGGCTCGGGATGCGAATGCGGTGCTGGCGATGCTGGGTGGGTGTGAGAGTCGTGCGGAGATACCGCAGCTCGACGATGGTGTATGTGTGTGTTGTAGTGATGAAAGTAGTAGTAGTATGGGTATATGTAGGAGTAGGAATGGGAACGGTGAAGTGGTGGAAGCAAATGCGAATGCAGATGCTAGGATAGAGGGTGAAGGGATTGGAGAGGTGTTTGAAGATGCTGTCGAAGCGACTGGACTCGTGTAGTCCGAGGGGTTTATTTCATCACGAAGTTTCACGGCCAAGTTTCTAGTTTGTAGCATCGGTACTAAACCGATTCGATTCTTTCATAGTTTCCTTTTGTATATTCGATATCCCAAGGTTTTTGTTTTCAATCCCATCATCGCTTCTTTTTGTTTTCCACGATTCCTTGAACGCCAAAGTGACTATGCTTCAACTTCACACCATTTGAAACCTTTTCCCCTCCCCTATCACGCCTCTGGTCTAACCTTCCCTCTCCTCTCCCTCATACCCTCCACCCTCTTCCGATCCTCCTCAAACCGCCTCTTCAACTCGCCCTCGGCCTTCTTCCTCCGCTCACGGTTCTGGAACCTATAGAAATCATCCGTGGCCCGATGATTCCTCTTGCGCTCATCCAACTCAGCCTTCTTCTTCTCCGCCTCCTCCAGCCTTGCAGGCCCAACACGGCCGCCACGGACAACAGCGACGAAACCATCTTCATCAGGTACCGAGCGCGCCGTCTTGCGAAGGCGATTCCGCATCGTTTCCAGAGCGTTGAATTGCGACAGATATGCATTCAAACTCGACTGAAGAAGGGCAGGCGGCGGGTACACGAGGTTATTATGGGACTTGTATCCTGTCGCATCATTAGCTCTTCTCCTCTCTTCAAAAGA